GCGGCCACCTGAATTCGTCAAGAAAGCGAAACGACCTCTGCTTATACATTCGCAAATGCATTGCCTACTCTTAATCGATGGAGGAGGAAAAAAGTGTTCAAAACCCACTCTTCATTCCATTTTTTAAGTTACGTGTTTTTTTTTTATGTTTTCAATTACAGCAAAAGAAAGAAAAATAGATGATACAGTCAAAAACGGTTTTTTTCAGGTACTCGTGCTAAGATGCATGAGTACGAGCATTGCAACCTGGGCAAGGTGCCGGGCGCGGTGCTGATGGGGCGCGCCAACCACACTGAGCTTGACACCTACTCCAACCTCATGATATACGCACAACAACTCTACGGAGCTGCCACCTCGGATGAATTCAGGTAAATATCACTAGCACATCACCCAGTGTACAAACACACATCCATCCATTCTAAACTTTAGCATTTATAGTATCACTAGCATCCACTCACCTCTGCTCCCTTTTCTTATAAAAAAAATAGCATCAGTCAGAATTAAAAAAAACAAACAAAAGAAACTAACCTATGTATTCTTTTATTCTATACCAATCTATACTAATATATTAAAGCGTAAACATACACTTCTTTGTTGCCTAAGATGTCAGCAATCACAGCACATTTTTTAATAGTTCTTTTTTTTTTAATAAAAAGCCCTAAACTTACGTGACGCTTTAGGCTATATATTTTCATGCCATTAAACTTAGGGGGAAATATTTTGTATTAGGATAGAAATCCTAATGTGGGAAAGAGACCATAAATTGCTGCCAACATCAAGGAGGCAATTCCCATTTCGGCATTTGAAATTTGACATTTCATGCGGATGATGCCGCACTGGAACAGCTAGACAATTTTAATAAATCAATTAACTCGTTATAAAAGTAAAATTGTTAAAATGTCTATTTTTCATACAATTCGAATGTTGATATGAATGTGCGTTAACCCGCGACATATGACGTCATACATTAAAAGAAAATATTGTCCTCAAAACATATGTATTTTTCCGATCGACAAAAGTTCCCTTAATAATACATTATTATTAAACTAGCTTTCGCTCGCGACTCCATCCCCGTGGAATTAAAACAACAAAAGTGAGTAGCCTATGTGTTCATCCAGACTATCCTCCACGTCTATGGCGAATTTCATCGAGATCCGTTCAGCCGTTTAGGCTACAAACTCTAACAAACATCCATCCATCTAATCTTTGGCATTTATAATATTAGTATGATATCATCCAGATCCGTTCAGCCGTTTAGGCTACAAACTCTAATAAACATCCATCCATCTAATCTTTGGCATTTATAATAATAGTATGATTTCATCCAGATCCGTTCAGCCGTTTAGGCTACAAACTCTAACAAACATCCATCCATCTAATCTTTGGCATTTATAATATTAGTATGACTAATATTCTATTAACTCTAAGGAATATTGTTACAGTTTCAGCATGTTTTACTCTCAACCGCCATACGCGGACCTTATCTTCAGCGACGCTGCAGTCCGTTTAAAGCCGTTAGCACACAGCAAGCGATCAGCTGAGATCATAGCGGGGCCTGCGCTACTAAGAGCTGCGAAAATAGTCTCATGTGATGCACCTCAGGCATTATACTATGTCGCACCGGACCCGGAATTCTTGTCACATTCCTATAGAACATATATTATGGGACATGTACTAGCTATAACATTGTTTATGGTCATTTTATTCCAATAAGTTTGTAAAGGCTGAATATTGAAACGAATCTTACAACCTTTCCCACCAAATTGTAGATTGTCTGATAATCAAATGTGTAAAGTAAAAATGACATCGGATTTTGTCCCTTATCTGACAGTGATGTCATTTTAAAGCAATCTGAACCTCTATCGGCCAGTGGTGAGACAGGCCCTTACACTTCATGAGCACCGTTTACAATCTGACAGATGTTAAAATATTTATAGAATTTGGTTGTAAGCGTGTCTTTAAACGCTGTTTTAATTTAAGTATCGTTTCAGTATACGGCCCAAGTTAAGACATTTAATATTGCATTAAGTTCTTTGAAAATTGTCTAGGATTTTTTAGTACTATGTTGGTACAGTTTATTTTGAGGTTTTAAAATGTGCACTGACAAGTGGCATTGTCATAATTAGGATTTATATGGTAACTATAAGAAACTAGTTTTTGCCCTCGATTTTGTCCGTACTGAATCAAAAATAGTCTAACATGTAATTCAGTTTAGCTTATGTTTTAAGTGTTAAGGCAGCTTTCTAATGATACATTTTTGGAAACGGTCCAGTACTTTTTGAGTTGTTATATACAAAAATGCGAATTATTCCTTTGTTTAATATTAGTAAAGATATGGCAACATTTTTTACACTCTTATGACAGCTGTTTATCTAAAACTAGACTAAAATTAGTAATACTAGATTAAGACTCGAAATGATAGAAATAAGTTATTGATTTATGTAATAAAAATTATAAGCACATAAGTTTCTCCTCTGTATTATGTAAGTAAATATGCCTTACAATACATTTACATTCAGTATTGTTTATTTAATGTAAAGTATTCCGTCCATGTGAATCACTTTTGTATTATTTTATTTGTGATTATTATCTTATTGTAAACCCTTTGACAGCTATGCCTATAAAGTTAAAATTTTGACAATTTTATTTGATAATCCATCAATTTTATCAAACAGAACTGTTGCCCGCAAACTTCGATAGCGCGGATTTTAAAAAAAATAGTAGTTTATAATGTGCCTGTCTTCGTCAGCTATCCTATGGTAAAAGACACGTCAAAATCGGCGGAGTTACGGAGAGTATCCGGAACAAACGAGGCTTACAGACAATTTTTTTTATTGCGCTTTTCGTCATCAACGCGACCATCTACGCGAAATATGAAATTTTTATTTTGATATTCTGACATATTTTACTATTTGTATAGATATACAAATTGTATTACTTATATTTTGAAAATGAATTATTTAATGTTTTGCACTGAATTCCGTCCATATGAATCTTTTTTTAATATCTTTTATACACATAAAATAAAACAATTTTATAAATAGATCTTTTATTTATCATTCAATAACTTATTACTAACATAACATTGAAATCCATTAGGTAAATTATCAAATTTCTTCATGATTATTTTCAAATCTGGTCTACGACAGATTTCTTTTATAGCTGCTTTACACATTTTTCCATTAGTATATAAAACGCTAGCATGCTCCTGCCATTTACCAGACATACAATTTGTTTTAGCTAATTCTGTTTTAATAATCGGAACCAATTTACTACATTTTGATGTCAACTTTGCACATAAATATAAAGCTTTATATGAAAGATATCTCAAATGATTTATACAATGTACAAAATCAACACTTTTCAGTTTATTCTTCATTATTATTTCTATAATAAAATTGGATAATTTTACTGTTACCTTTTTCTTGTAGAGAAAAAAATATTCAACAATCTCTTCATCACAGAGTATAGACAATATTGTACAAAACTTATTAGCAGCTAAACAAAATGTTATAAATATATGTTGCCATAATAATTCCTCAGAGTTATAATGTAGATTAAAAATATGTCCATTTATATGGATACCTGATACACCGATGCGATTCTCTATGAATTTATAAAGATTTGTTATAGCATGAGAAAAAGAGATCTTATAACACATTTGACCAGTATATACATTATTTGCCCGACTAACAGTCAATGTATTTGTATTATATGAATAACCTAAAAATGTCATTATATTGCTGAATTTAATAAATTCATGAGGAAAATTCACTAATGTTTTATCATAGTTGATATTTTTATATCTAGATAAAGCATTTAGAAATGATTTTGCATCCTCCAATGAGTTTGTAATATATAAATAATCATCAACTACTCGAACAAATAGTTTTAATTCTTTTACATTTGTATGATGTTCGTGGAAATAAAGTTCATCCATATAAGAATAATATAGTTCAGAAAGGGCCGGTGAGTATTTGTACCCTTGTACTAAACCTTCTTTCCATTCATAAATCGTTGAACCAATACGAATTAATAAAGGCTTTTGTAACTCTGACATAATATCTGTAAAATTCTGCGCAAACTTTTTTTTAACATGCATACATTTCTCAGATTCTTGCAACATTAAATTTCTTTTATGAATTATTTCTAATAATTGTTGTTTATTAATACAACCAAAAGCATTAGTAAGATCTGTTTTTATAAAATAAAGTTTTGGTTTGTTCTTTTCTAGCCATGTTGTATGCAACAACTCATATTGTTTCTCCAACTTCTCTTGAGTCTTGCCAGTTAACAAATTTATAAATGTTAATTTCTCTTTAATTTTTAATTTCTCATCTTTACTTAACTGATTATTTTTATAGCATACAATTATTCTACAATTATTATTAGGTTTGAGTATTAAATGAAGTTTTGGAATATCTTTTTTAAGATTCTTCAGACACAACCTTACTTGTAGATTAAAATTTTTGTTATGTCTATTTCCTGATTGAAATTTACATTTTTCAATAACTTTGGTAAGTAACATATTGGAGACTGTTTTGTCGTGAAAACTTTGCCAATGTTCTTTTTTAAAAAAATACAGCCTATTTTCATCCGAATCTAATTTACATGTAGTTACATAAAAATTTAAGCTTATAATAGCTGATAACACATATTTCATAATCCAATATAAAAATTTATATAGTAACTTTTTAGCAGTGTCGATAGAAATCGTTTTCCACGGGAACACAGAGAAATCCCATTTTCTCAATATTCTTGTAAAAAATAAACATTGCCGATTCATACTATAAATTATTATATGGACTAGTTTTCGAAAAATTTTATAATTATGATTTCCACCGTATATTTTTCTAGGTATAACATCTTGTAAAGCCTTTATGCATCCCATGAATATATCTTCCTTGCCAACTGCTTTCATAGTTTCTGAATACTTGGACAGAGGAAAATACTGTTTAAAGTCTTCTTTGCAATTAATTCTTACATTATTTCTTACCTCGTCTATTAAAATAAAAAATGTCTCTGATAGTTCGTCCACCAAACATTTGTCTTCAAATAAATATTCACATAACACTTTAATATCGTTTACCTTTAGATATTTCAAATTAAGAATATTTTTAAATGTTCTTACATTTTGTTTATTTATAAAGTAATGCGAGAAACATATGGGTTCCATAACACACCGACTATAGTTAATAACGTTAAAGAACTAAATTAAATCCATATTCACAGTGCTTAGCTGCTTAGCTAAGCAAAGTGAATTTAAATGTTGCGGCTACTTGTTGCAACTTGTATCGAAATTTTGAAATTCAAACAAGTTGAAACAGGTAAACAAGTGAATGCGTTCCTTTTCAAGTGCGTATTTTATTGAAATAAGTTCAAAAAGCGTTTTGCTCTTTAAATGCCTTTGTATATTATGTTTGTGATAACATTCCGTGATAAATAAATAACATAATTTTGATAGAAAAAAAAATTAATATTACAGGGCTGGCTTATTAGCCTACCCTATTGGGTAATTAGAATATTTCTTATGGCAGCACAGCATTGATATTTGCAAATCAAAATGCGCTTGCGTATTTTTTGAAATTGGTAAATTCTATGACTACGAATTCTATTTCTGTAAATATTTTATTGTCCCTTATTGATAAAATTAAATCTAAATGCTATCAATTGGCTTATATAAAACGATTTTTTGTTGTTGTTATTACATAACCTTAATAACGTCAAAAATAAAATCATTATCATATACTATGTGATAATGATAAGCAATGCGACGACTAACAATATATTGAAATTACAAAACCAAAATCGGCTTCGTCCTAAGTCATTATGGCAAAGGTAATTGTGAATGATTTGATTCAAATTTTTAAAAGCAGTGTAACAGCAGTCTTACCGGACAGTATTGTAAAAAAATGTTTAAATTACAGTCCTATAACTCAAAATCTAAAACTTTGCGACGAAAATTATGACTTGAAAAATAAGAATGTTTACGTAGTAGGGACTGGAAAAGCTGCGCAGAATATGGCTGTAGAAGTGGAGAAATTATTAAGTACCAAAATTACAGAAGGAATAATTAGCATACCTAAAGGAAGTCTACATCAGAATTCAGTTAAAACAAATATATCATATTATGAAGGTGCAAAAGATAATTTGCCAGATGAAGAAGCTATGATCACAGCTAAGAAAATAGAACACCTTGTTACAAATCTGGGAAAAGATGATTTTCTTTTAGTTTTAATTTCTGGAGGTGGCTCAGCCTTACTGCCTTTACCAATAGAACCAATAAGTCTAAGTGAAAAAACTAAATTAATTAAACAATTAGCACATTCAGGTGCCGATATTAAAGAATTAAATACAGTTAGAAAAAGAATATCTGCTCTAAAAGGTGGACAATTGGCTTTAAAAAGTAAAGCAAACAGAACTGTAGCTCTGATACTTTCAGACATAGTTGGAGATCCCTTAGACTTGATTGCTAGTGGTCCAACAACTGAAAATACAGATAATCCACAAGAAGCTTTAAATATTATTAAAAAGTATAACTTATTTGACAATCTTTCACAATCTATACTTACAGTGTTAAATCAGCAGGATCAACAAATACTCTTTCCAAAGGAAATAGTTAAAAACTTTGTTATTGGTTCTAATAAATTAAGCACAGAGGCAGCGGCTACTGAAGCTGAAGCACTCAATTATTTTCCAATTCAACTATCTAATATTGTAACTGGTAATGTTAAGGATGTCGCACTTGAATATGCAAATTTAACTAAAGCATTTTGCAACTTTTTAAGTAATAAAATTAATGCTGCAACATTAAAAAACATTGTAGATAATCTAAATATACCAGGACTTGATTCAATTTTTATTAATTCTCTTGACAGTATTAGAGAAAAAGATATTTGTCTAATATTAGGTGGGGAAATTACTGTTGAAGTAAAAGGGAATGGTCAAGGTGGTAGAAATCAACAATTGGCTTTACAATTTTCATATTATTTGAATGAAATAAAACATGAACTAAATAATTTTGATGTCTACTTTCTAAGTGCGGGAACAGATGGTATTGATGGACCTACAGATGCAGCTGGGGCTATTGGCTACCTTAATTTGATATCAGATTGTGAAACAGAACTCGATGTTAATTCATTTTTGAATAATAATGATTCATATAACTTCTACAAGAAGTTTAAAAATGGATCTCTTCATATAATTACAGGTCATACAAACACTAATGTAATGGATATTCATTTAATAATCATTAAAAGACATTGAATTCTAACATACTTACAAATAAACATGGTATAAGCAAATATTAGGAAAAATTTTGCTTATACTCATTTTATTCCTTAGTTTAACTTTATACCACATTTATTTGTAATGCAGTAAGAAGAGATTTCTATGAACATGGTTTAAGAAATAAAGAAATGTTACTGGGCTTTTCTTTTTCAACTTTCAATTTTGCAGAAGCCAGCACTGCTTTTTTACATAAACCTGCAAATTTATCTTTCTTCTTTTTATTGTTTTTGATTATTTTTGGTTGTTCCTTAATTGTGTTAGCCAATGTATTGTGTTTGTTGCTTAGAGAAAACACATCCTTAGATTTTACATATGCATTTAATATTTGACTTTTTTCTATTGCCTTTTGGTCTTCTTTTTTTTCTATTACATTTGATTTCTTGCTTTTTATTGTACTTGTTTCTACTTTTTTGAGTACCTTATCATTAAATTTTGGTTTTAAAACTGTCCTAATTGTAGTGTGTTTGCAAAATGAACAAATTTGTTCCTGAAACAAAAGTATACAAGGATAAACATATGCCAATAAATTATGAAAATAAAATTACTTCCATCTTAATATACTTACAAGCCTATTGCTATGCAATAAATCTTTCTTCGATTTATTTGTCTTTATTCTTTTTCGTTGTCTTTTACTGAGATGTAATGATTTTACCTGAAAAAAAAAGTTACAACACAACAAATATTAAGCTGGATTTTCATATATATTTAATGCCTATTGAAATAAAAAAAAACACGTTAATTTTCCTTAAAATTTTGCACATAAATAAAATAAAAGAAATATCATACTTTAGTCTCAGTATTTCTTGTCCATTCTAAACAACAATGTGGACATCGACTTTTGACTGAGAATTGCTGCTGTGGTAATCCATAACCCTTTGTTATTTCAAAACACCTCAGCCTGAAAGGAAAAAGGTTTGAGAATATTCTTAAAACGCATGAATGACATGAAATTAAAGTTAATTTAAAATACATACAGATAATAACTTCTAAGATGCTGTATTTGCGAATCGTCTTTTGGCACAGTTGCTAATCTGGTAGCTACTTTATACAAAAATCCTACTTGTTTTTCAGTCATCTTTTATAAAAAGTTAAAAAAATCGTAATTTTGACATTAATTTCGAGTTTTGACACTGACATAAATCAAATTCAAAGTCTGAAAGTGACATATACTTTACTTTTTTTGAAGATTTCATGGCCTGGCTACTGGACCTTTCAGTAGAATTTAGGACGTCTTTACGAAAAAAAATTAAGGAAGATTGACCTATTCTTTGTAAAAACTAAGATACAGGATAAATAGTTATAGTAGTATAATAGTAGAATTCAAATGTGAAAGAATGACGTGGTTTTAATTGCTAATGGAACCGTTTTCGGCTAATGGCCAAAAATGTAGTATCCGAAGCTTAAACCAAATGAAACGAAACTTGAATTCGCGCCAAAATGTATATTGAAGCTTGTCAAATGAAACTTCGTTGATAGTTAAGATTTTATACAATAAATACTTATAGTTCCAAGAAACCAAACTTTTTATTTGCATAAATATGTTTTAACTAAGAAGACGAAAAGCGGTCACATAAATGATTTATCTGAATATTTCCTCATGTGTAAACTAAGACATACAAAAATTGAGACTTAACCTGTGAACTGTTTTGTTAAGTAATTTAATTGTTTTATTTGAAAATAACACCCGCTCAAACGGTTTTTAACATTTTTAAACATGGATGTAGCTGATACATATTCAACACAAAAGCAAGTAAAGGACGATGTAGGTGTACGTTGTCAAAAGCTGTTTCAAGATTTTTTAGAAGAGTGAGTATAATGTTTTACCATTATTTAATATTTATTACATTAATAATACTAAAGCAATATCATACAAAGTATATTAACACTTTTTAAATGTAGTACTTTCAGGAATTTGGTAAAATTTTTAATATAAATTCTTAATTGCATTTCTTACATTGGAGTATTTGTTAATATAGATATTTGTAATATCTGCCTACTCATCACAGTTACAAGTATAAGAGCTTTAAATATAATTTCCACATAATGCTATAGTATTAATTATAACTTTCTATAACATTACAAAGGATTTGTATGTCATGGTAAATGATACTAAGCTTTAAATTTATTAAATAACATATTTGTAATGTTTTAAATTAATTATTACAGGTTCAAAGAAGATAATGAAATTAAATATGAAAAACCGGCGAAAGAACTAATAAAACCTGAAGCAAGTACTTTAGAAGTCAGTTTTGATGACGTTGAAAGATACAACCAGAATCTGGCTACAACTATTATTGAAGAATATTACAGGATATATCCATTTCTGAACCAAGCTATATTAAACTATGTGTTAAGTATAACTGATAATAATGTTAAAAAGGAACTAATAGGCAAAGAATGTTATGTGTCATTTGTAGATGTGCCTACAAGGCATAAAGTGAGAGAATTAACAACAGCTAAGATTGGGACATTGATAAGAATCTCAGGGCAAATTGTAAGAACTCATCCTGTACACCCAGAGTTAGTTTTGGGCACATTTGTATGTTTAGACTGTCAGACTGTAGTGAAAAATGTTGAACAACAATTTAAGGTATATTTTTGAGTTATTTGTATTTTATCTTTTATCTAGACTAGTTTTTGCTCATCTTTGCACAGAACTAAAAAAAAAAGTTTATTAAATAGCTAATATGTTTTTCCACAATATGCAAATTACATGAATTAAACTGTTTTGAAGATACATACTATTAAACACCCATCCATCTAAAATTTGTCATTTAGTAAAGAAGTATGACTTTGAAATTCAACATAACAGAATTATAGTAAAAAATCTAATATTCAATGTAGTCTATGTTACTCAGTGATAAGGTAGCTTTCTGATGGCATAATAATTTTTGAAAATGTCTCAGTAGTTTTTGAGTATACCACAAACATACAAAAATAAAAATCTTTTCTCTTTTACAATAAATTTGTACCAATTAATTTGATGAACTTCTTTCAGTACACATTACCTGCAATATGTCGGAATCCTGTTTGCGCGAACCGAAGACGATTCATGCTAGACGCTGACAAATCAGTTTTTGTTGACTTCCAAAAGATAAGAATCCAAGAGACTCAGGCGGAATTACCCCGCGGTTGTATTCCACGCTCACTTGAAGTTATACTCAGAGCAGAAGCTGTTGAATCTGTGCAGGTATGTATACTTTCTCTAACTAATATGATAAACACACACTTTGACATGGATTTTGGAATTTCTTGAATAATCCTCTCATTAATAAAAAGCCCTACACTTACTACTATGACATGCTTTTTCCCACTATTTAATATAAGGAGTGAATAATTTTGGAAATCATTTTCATGTGGAAAAAGAACAAAAACTACAAGGATATTGTAGCAAAGAAGATTGCCATTTCTAATAGTAATTGTTAGCCAATGGCCTTAGTCTTATGTATATTTCAATTTTGTGCAGTGTGGTTAACTATGACAGTCATTGCTAACTTTGGGTAGGTTCCGAGCCCATATAAGCTGATGATCCAAATTTTCGCATTTCTCAGTATGAAGTATGATGAATTAATTCTAGAATGATTGTAGAGTGTTCTGTTTTGCATTACAGGCAGGTGACAGATACGATTTCACAGGTACACTTATAGTAGTACCAGATGTGGGTTCCTTATCATTACCTGGAGCCAAGGCTGAACTCACCACAAGGACTCGGCAGGGGAATGAAGGACAGATGGAAGGTATCAAAGGATTGAAAGCTTTGGGTGTACGGGAATTGCATTACAAGTGAGTTTAAACTTCTTTATTATATAGGATGTCAGTAATAACAGCATATTTTATGATTAATTTTTTTTTACTAAAAAGCTCTATGCTGGACATGCTATAAACTTTTTATTTATACTTATATTATAAAGAGGAAAATTTGTATTTTTGTATGTATTGAAATAACTCAAAACCTACTCAGCTGAATACAAAAAAGTCTTTACCGTTAAAAAGCGCCACTATCATTGAGAAATATAGGCTATCTAAAGACTATTTTCTAATTAACGTGAACGAAGACGCGAGTAACCGCTCTCCGCCTCCCTCTTTCCCCCTCTCTCTCGCGCTGTCTCGCTCTCTCTCCCTCTCTCTCCCCCCCATTTCTCTCTCTCTCTAAGGGTCTCTCCATTTATGGAGTTTATCTGCCAGCACGAACTTTTGCAGGTCATGTGCCAAGCAATATAGATGTACGCTGGTAAAATTCGTCCACTCCTTGATATTTATCAACGATTTCTCATCCAGCGGGTTTTTTCCTGCTATAGTAACATATTTTGTTTCTCAAAGGACAGCGTTCCTCGCGTGCAGCGTGCAGGCGATGTCGCGTCGCTTCGGCGCCGCCGACATCGCAGCCGACGACCTCACTACTGACGATATGAGGAAACATATGACCGATAAGGAATGGAACCAGGTATAACTTGCTAAACAAATAACTAAAAAGTGTTAAAAAAAACCAATTATTTTTGTTATCTGTAATTTGTTAGGAATTGTAGCTTCATATGACCAATAAGGAATGGTAAAACGTATATAATTTACTTATCAAATAACTAAAATCTGTAAAAGTAAGGTTTTTAAAATTTTTGCTGCTGATAAGGAATAGAACAAACTCTTTTATTTTTTTTAATATCTAAAATTGTAAGGTATTTTTAGTAACAAATGTTTTTTAGAGTAAAAATTTATGTATATTATCATAAATGGCTATTGTTTAAGTCAATATTATGCTCCGTTTTACTTAATTTTTTTTACTGCAACGATTCAACTGCCGAAACATTTGAATTTTTCTGTGAAAATTTTTCTACGGTAAAATGAAGATTTTTTTAAGTTTTTTTTTTAAATAAAATTTTGTTAATAGTTGTTTTTTGTTTAGGTATATGAGATGACAAAAGACAGGAATCTATACAATAATCTAATAACAAGTTTATTTCCAAGCATACACGGGAACAATGAAGTAAAACGAGGGATTCTATTAATGTTGTTTGGAGGCGTCGCTAAAACTACTATTGAAGGTAGGATGTTCTTTAAAAATTTAAACAACGCCATCTAGTTAATAATACAGAAACCATTTTTTTTTGATGGATGGATGTTAGAGTTTGTAGCCTAAACTTCTCTACTGATCTCAATGAAATTTGGCATAGATGTAATCTATAGTCTTAAAGAACACATACTCACTTTAATTCCACGTAGACAGAGCCACGGGTGAAAACAAGTCTTTCATGTTAACATTTAAATTATATAAAGATTTATTATTACAGCTGTTTCTACTTCGCCCTCGTGAAATTAAAAAATAACGTATGAATATAGCCTATGAAGTTCAGTGATGAGGTAACTTTTTAACGGTGAAAGAATTTTTGAAATCGGCCCAGTAGTTTTTGAGTTATTTCAATACATACAAAAATACAAATCTTTTTTTCTTTTTTTAAATTTTAGTATAGATATAGATTATTTTTAATTTACTTCTTACTTCATACTAATATTATAAATTTGAAAATTTAGATGGATGGATGGATAGATGGATGGATGTTTGTTTGAGTTTGTAGTCTAAACCGCTAAACGGGTCTGGATGAAATTTGGCACAGATGTAGAGCATAGTCTGGAAGAGCACATAGGCTACTTAGTTTCGTTTTTTTTAATACCACGCGGACGGAGTCGCGGACAATAGCTAGTGTTACATATTTATTGCTTTAACAAAGCAGATTTTAAATTGTTACTATATTTTGATGGTTTTTTAATTATTTGTTCGAGCATGAGGCTGTCAAAGTTATTATGCAGCTGCGGCAAGAGATATTCCCAGTTGCACTTACCTTACGCATATAAGTTGGTAATCTATACATATAATGAAATTGGAGTATCTGTTTGTTATATCAAAGGAAAAATCCCAGATTTCGGGAAAATAATATATTTGCGTTGCTGATAAAGAAAATCGCATTTAAAAATTTTTTGTTTGTCTGTCTGTCCGCAAGCCGCGTTTGTTCCGGATAATCT